AAGTTCATATAGTATCTAAGGCTAGATGGCATAAATAATACTAGTAATAAGAATATAAAATTACAAATTAAAAGCTTTCTTTAAAAGATAAGTCTTCAACTGTACTTTAAAAGAGTCAATGTTCCTACAGTTTCTAAGACTAGATGGCAAGGCATTCCATACTGTTGGTCCAGCATGGAAAAAGGCTCGATAGCCAAGAGTCTTCCGTGTCACCCTAGGGATTAGCGGCAATGTTTCAGAATCAGACCGCACGCTGTATCTAGTTCTAGGCTTTACAACAGGTAGTTCAGATAAATATTGTGTGGCCAGGCCATTCAATGTTTTAAAAACTAAAAGCGCAATCTTAAATTCTACTCTAAATTTCACCGGCAACCAGTGAAGTTCCCTAAGTACCGGAGTAATATGAGTAGACTTAGGAATTAAGCATGTAACCCGAGCCGCCGCATTAAGAACTTTTTGAAGTCGATTATATTGATATTGCGGACGCATATACAAACGAGCATCGCAATAACCTAAATGTGATGTAACAAACGCATGAATTAAACACTTTGTTGATTCCGAAGACAAATATTTCCTAATTTGCCTAATATTATAAAATCCCCAAAATGCCTTACTACACACCTTTCCTATATGAGTAATCATTGACATATGGTTATCAAACCATGCGCCAAGGTTTCTAACATGCTTAAGGGGTTGAATGTCATAGTCACTCACGTAAATTGAAGGAATGGTAACCTTAGATAACCGCTGCGACGAAACAATGACTAGAAAATCTGTCTTTGAGTCATTAAACATCAACCTGTGTGAGACTAACCAAGCCCTAACATCAGCTATGCAGTTCTCAATAGCGTTAGTCTCTTGATCTTGAGCAGCAGACGAATCTGAACGAAACAACACGTGCAACTGAGTATCATCAACATACCCATGAACTGATGATTACCTCGAGTTTCTTTTAAAAACAGACACAACTTATATAAGTTTACTAGTACTTATGTTGCAACTGGTACCTATAGGATGCTTGTTTCAATTATCTACATGATACGGTCTTTAAGCTAGTTGTAATCCATAGTTTTTGACAGCTTGTGTGACTAAGGGAGGTTGTTCTATAGTAACCACAATAAAGGAAATTGGAAACACACATTATCAGGGTAGATGCTTTGATTTCCTTCTTTAAATACAATCAAAGTTCTCATCAGAGCTTAAAAATTAAGATAGAGGAAAAGATCACCTATTAAAAATATACACACCTAAAATGTAAAACATTCTTCCAAGTGCGATGACATCATTCTCGAAAAAGGAAAGTTAAATATTCCAATTACAAAAGTACGGTAAACATAATTCTTTGGTTGTTAGGCGCATTATTTTCTTTGAGAAAATCTGTTCTCTCATGGAACATTACTACCTACTCCTGGGGTGTGTTTCATAG